CCTTTCTTCCTTCTTTTGTTCCCTTTCTCCTTCGTCAGTTTGTGACTTCCTTCCTACATTAATTCCATCCTTCCCTTATTTTCTTCTTTAGCCCTTTTCAAAGCCGTAACAAAGCTCCGCCCACATTTCACCTTTTTATTTACACACTGTGTTACGAGCTAGCACCGGCTACAAATATACATACAACAAAACTAGCCCTAACCTGAAGTGTGACAGAGGACGGAAAGGACTGATTCTCACACAGGGAACACATAAGGCTAGATCAGCTCACCTATACGCAGGTCTGCCGGGGCACCGGAGGCCTGAACGCACCGGACGGCTTTTAGAGCGACGAGCCCGAGCTTCGTCTATGAGTTCAGTTTAGTTTGTTGTAGCTGGATCACATAAGATACGGCTGGTTTCTAAAACAAGTTCATGGGAGTGGGTCATCTGTTCGGTCCGACAGCTTCCAAGTTGGCGTCCATACGGGTCCTCCATCAGCTGCCACTTCACCTGTCGTATTACGTCATTTAAAGCGACAGAGCACCGCTCTGAGCGCACCTCAGGAATGGTGCGTTCAAGACTATCGGACAAACCAGTAAACACAGCTTAAACCCATTCTCTATTCTCCCCATGAAAACCAGTCCATTAACAAACAGACAGATAAGGATGAATTAGAAGAACCTTACTGATTCCTAACAACTGCAACAGCAACCGTGCAACATTATGGCGTTACGGCGTTGAAGAAGGGCGAGAGGCATGGCCGTTTTCACACATGCACTCCTGAACATTTCTAGAGAATTTCAGGACGACTGCCACTGAATTCCTCCTGATCTGGTTGTTGGTTTGACCTGATAACTGCTCTCATATCTGGCAAACCGAGGGGCGTCCAAAACGGGCGTGTGGGGGGTCTTAAAAGCGCCTACCTTCTCTGGTCCAAACAAATCCAGAGCATTCAGGAGCAGAATCTAAAGTTAGAAGGAGGACATACTGGCTGCTGCATTTGTTTTGGTTGCCGTGGTAACATAAACAGATATCCATATCATTTTATTTTTACTAGAAACGTTTCCAAGTTTTAAATTCTGAAGTTGTCAGTTTTTTTCAAACTGTTGATTTGTGCATATTAAAGTATCAGGAGTCCCGACACGCCAGACAGGATGTTTGTACCGAGACGAAAAACACCTTCAGAGATGATTGACAAGGTTACCGTGACAACCCCGTCATATACACATCAGACTGAGTGAAACCAGTTCAACTGGAGCAGCGACGGCGTCACATCGACACGGGCTGCTCTCGTGTCATCCTCATGCGCTGCATTCAGGGACGCTCGGACATCTGACATTTCCTCCGTCAGCTGATGATGATTTCATACACAGCAGAAGAGGAAAATAATCAGACGGATGATTCACGTGGGCTGAAAGATGAAAGGACTCTTGACACAGCGTGACCAGCAGCAGTGCATGCTGGGAGGTTATGAGCACGCAGGGAGCATGCGGGAAACACATCTCTGACCAACCAATCAGAAGTTGCTCAACAGGTTTGAATCATGACACAAAGTTTTCCTCATGTTTGGAAGCAAACAGCTGACAGCACGTGATGTTGAGTAACAGATCGTCTGCTCTGAGCGTCCAGATTCATTCCATCCAACATTTTATTTACAAAACGTTTAAAAAGCTGGAACACGGTTTGACATAAAACTCAAAACTATCAAATCATCAGAAGAGCTGCTGCTTCTTTTCCTTTAGATTTACTTCTGAAAAGACTCATCATACTGTCCTGAGAGGTCTTTAAGTTCCTTCTTTGTCAAAAACAAACAAAGACTCTTTATTTTCTGACATGAATGAGGAAGTTTAAAGGTCACATATTAAACTAAATCCACTTCTCCATGTTCCTCTAACTCTAACATGTGTCTCTAGTCCGTCTTCAAACCCCAATGATGAGAAAAGTTCATCCTCTCCGTCTTCTGCCTGCTCCACTTTTCAGAAAATGTGTGCTCAAACAGGCCGTTTGGAGATTTTCCCTTCATGACATCACAAAGGGCAGTAGCCCCTCCCCCAGGTGGGTGACACTCCCACAGCTAGGTGTTTGTTAAGAGGCTTAAGAGTCAGTGAGGGGGCTTCAAACTGTTCTCCACAAGCCAGTGGATGACATCACAAAAGCAACCCACAGATGAGGTCACTGAAGGTCGCCTTCATCAGTCACAAAGTCAAAGGAAAATTCTAAAAATGCAAAGAAAGCTCTTCAGGCATGAGGTGAACTCTGCTCACGCTCGGGTTGTTTGTTTCATATTTAAATACTTTCTGACTTAGTGTTTCTAACAACAATGTTGGTATGCAGAGTGGATCAGCTGACTGTGCGTGTGTGTGCGTGTGTGTGTGTGTGTGCGTGTGTGTAAAATCAGTCTGTTGTTGTTCTTCAGGAATCAGCTGAGAGATGAAAACAAGCAGCCAGCAGCGTCACACGCCCTGAACATCACTCGGACTCATTAACATACTGAGACAGCAGCAGCAGAGCAGACGGAGCGAGGAGCTGACAGCGCCCCCCACAGGCTGCGCTGGTCATCACACACACACATCATCACACACACACAGCACTAAAGAGCAGCATGTCATGTTTCTCTAGAAAGGATTTTATAGATAAACAAACAGGAGCAGAATGTTAAATTGTCGGTGTGATGTCTCACTCTGGATAAAAACTCAACTAAAGAACTCTTTTGAGGTCATTTACCCGAGTATTTCCTGCAGCTTCATACGTTAGCTTCATTATTTGATTATTACTGGTGCAGTAATGTGTTACATCCCTTTAAAGGTTACATATTATTTAAATCCACTTCACCCTGTTTCTGTAGTCCGTCTACAAACCCCCCAATGATGAGAAAAGTCCATCCTCTCCGTCTTCTGCCTGCTCGTCTTTTCAGAAAATGTGTGCTCAAACAGGCCGTTTGGAGATTTTCCCTTCATGACATCACAAAGGGCAGTAGCCCCTCCCCCAGGTGGGTGACACTCCCACAGCTAGGTGTTTGTTCTGCCCTCTGAGTCTGCCTTCTCACCGTAAACAATAGGACATGGAGAGAGAAAGCACAGAGTACACCCAAGACCTTCCAGAGAGGGGGCGTGGTCAGACACAGCTCATTTACATATTTAAAGGTAAAAATGTTTTTATGGAGATCGTCTCATGACCCTCAGGCTGCAAAACCTGATCAGAAATGACACCGTTTCCACAGAACACAGACACACACACACACACACACACAGACACATGTTTGATGTGTCAAACCTGTTTGCCACCACACTGTCCAATTTCTGTTTCAGTTAGGCAGGTGTGAGAGTGTGTGTTTGTCTGCGTGTATCTGTGTGTCTGGGTGAGAGTGTTTGAGTGTTTTCTGTGTGTGTGTGATTTCTGTGAAATGTCAAACAAAGCAAAGACAGAAACTCCCTGAAAACAGAAGTGAGACGGTTTGGACTTAAACCGAGACACACTGACATTTTAACTTCACTGTATCACAGAAACTCTGACGGACGAGATGACGATGTGTGGAGGTCAAACCTGCACCAGACGCTCGTCAACATTTCACAAACTGTGAGACTTTCAGAAACCAAACGTTTCAAAACGACACAATCTGACATTTCAACGATCGACTGAACGTCTCAAAAAGTCCAGAAACTTTACAAAACATTTCATACGACAGGTGTGTAGCAGAGGAAAGACACGCCGCCTAAATTACACGGAACTTTCAGAGGAACGTTTAAGCTGACAAAAAACCACACGCATGCAGGTCAGCTCCCAAAGCATGCTGGGTAAATGTGCGTTTAAATGAGGCCTCTAAACTGGGACAGAAGTGAAGGTGTGGGATCAGGTCAACAGACTGAAACCTGGGAACAATCAGTTTATAATCTAACCACAGGAAGACAGGTGTGAGGTTACAGGAACCACACACACACACACACACACACACAGTCTGTATCAGAGCGCCCTCTGCTGTCTGTGCAGACTCACAGCAGCACAACAGGACTTTTTAGGGTAAAATACGGGTTCCAATCCGACACGTGACTCATTTCCTGCACGTTGTTCCCCACTCTCTCTGATTTCTGACTCTATCCACTGAATTTGAGCACTTTAATGGACACTTTAGAAATATTATCTTTAACCGCCCAATACCTGACTGTAACACTGTAGTCATTTCAAGCTTTTAAATTATTTGAGTGTATATATTTTATTGTTCTTATTGCTCTTTTATTGATTTTATTTTCTGTTGTAGCTTTATCTTGTCTCTCGTTGTTTATCATTTATGTATGTTTTCTCAGCATTATTGTAAATGAGGGTTGCACCTCAATGATCTCTCCGAGAACTTAAATAAAGGTTGATGATGATGATGACTGTCCTGTCTCTAAGTAAAGTCACAAAAAGCCCCAAAACACACCTTAAAAACCCAATATGAATACCTGTACTGACGCCATCCTGTGCACCAATTGTAAACTTTCTTGTTTTTAATTATCAACCTGCAGCGCTAGAAGCCTTCAGAAAATGTCCCTAAAGACGTACAGCTCATTTTAAACACTTTTAAAACAAAGTCACAAGATGCAAAACAGGTAAGATTTCAGCACATACAGGCAAAACCTTCAATCTCAGGTATCAGTGATAATCTAGCTGATTTGTGTGGTGTCTGTTTCTGCACAGACTCTGTGCTCTGTCTGTATTTTCAAGGCCCTGACACACCAAGGAGACCGGCGGTTCTATTTGGACCGTTGGTGAGTGGTCATCACCCTAGTTTTTTGCGGTGTGTCCGGCTCCGTCGCCCCCTGTTTGCCTTTTTCTCCTCATGTTGCTGTTCAGGACTTTTCTGTGTGTCGGTCATTGAACACAAGGGGGACTCACATCTCCACTCTGTTACCACCACTCCCCCCATCGTCCCTCTCCGCCTTCGTCCCCCAATCACCTCCCGTCCTGATTGGTCAGCTGTCAGAAAGGCGCTTGATGTCAACCAGCGCTTTTCTGAAAAGTTGAAATAATTCAACTGAAAAAGGCGTCGGGTGCAGCGCTTTTTGAAAAAGCATCATACTTTTCCTTTTTCCATAGGGTCATATGTAAAAAAGGCGCAGGCAGTTGAAAAAAAAAGTCAAGTGTGAACACGGCCTTAGTGTTTTTTCCGGGCAAAAAAGGTGTGTGTCATTTTATTTGTAAACAACAGGGTACCCCGTGCACAGCCTAAACATTCTCTGTTATGCACTGTTGCAGGAACATACCATGACAAATAAATCTTTTAGAAAAATAACTTTTAGAAAGAACTGAGAGTGAAACAGCAGCACAAAGGAGAAGATGAACAGCGATACCTGCTGGTGACCGGAGGAACTGCATAGACACACCTGAGGAGAGAACGAGGCGTGTGTGTGTGTATAACTCACCCACGGCTCTGAACAAACAGGCTCCGTCCTCCTTCATCTTCTTGATGACGAAGCCTTTCTTTTCTGTCAGAGCTTTTTCAAACCAGTGCTCCTGCTGAACACACACACACACACGCACGCACACGCACACACACGCACACACACACACAAAGAGACAAGACATACGCACACACATCAGTCTGTGTATACAGCACACAGGTAAAGAGTAACAGCACTGCTGAGCTAAAAGAACTGCATTACCCAGAATTCATTTCTTTCCAGGCGCTGACATTTTTCAGGTTTACAAAAGGAACACTGATTTTCTTTTAGAGACCAAACTGTTAATTTAACCTTAAGGGTTCTTCTCTTAAATAAGAGAAGGTAGGCGGTTTTAAGGACCCCCACACGGCCGTTTTGGACGCCCCTCGGTTTGTCAGATATGAGAGCAGTTATCAGGTCAACAGGTGTTGCAGCGATGGAAGCGGTCAAGAGAAGTGGTTCAGATAGAAGTGATTGTACCCGACCTAAAAAGCCTCTGCATGTTTCTAATAAGCTCCACGAGCAGAAACGTGCTCAAACTAGGATCAATATTGGAGATGCTTTTGAAAAATGGAGAGAGGTTAGAACACAGAAAGGTTTACAGACCCATGCAGAGCTGGATAAACACTGAAGCTTCAGAGTCCACCACATGGTGACCTGAGTGAGCATCCACTCTAGAGAGGAGGGGGGGGGGCAGCTCTCTATGATGTTTAGAATTTAGACTGCAGTACCCATTTTAAACACTAGGGGTCAGAGTTACATACTGCTCCTTTAATCATGGAACAGAACACTTCACCTTTTATGTTGTATTGATTTTTATAATGAACAACTTACATTTTAATGTGAGATTAGACCTTTCTTCATTTACACATTAACATGTATTAGAATCAAAGTGTTGAGCCGGTCTGCACGGTCGGTATGTGTACGAGGTACAAAAGTTAAACCTGCCATCAGCGTCACGGTCTACTTCACATTTTGTGGTTTGAAACTTAAATCAACAGAGAGAATCTTCATAATTTGGCTCCGCCTCTTTTGTTTTGGTGCCATTTCAGAGCGTTAATATGAAACTAGAGAAAAAACACCGCTGTGTCCTCAAACCCTTCATGATTTTTCAACACTAGTGACAATGAGGAGAACATGCAGACTCCTGAAGGACGGGGATTCAAACCAGGAACCTCCTCACAGAGAGACTCCTGAAGGACGGGGATTCAAACCAGGAACCTCCTCACAGAGAGACTCCTGAAGGACGGGGATTCAAACCAGGAACCTCCTCACAGAGAGACTCCTGAAGGACGGGGATTCAAACCAGGAACCTCCTCACAGAGAGACTCCTGAAGGACGGGGATTCAAACCAGGAACCTCCTCACAGAGAGACTCCTGAAGGACGGGGATTCAAACCAGGAACCTCCTCACAGAGAGAGTCCTGAAGGACGGGGATTCAAACCAGGAACCTCCTCACAGAGAGACTCCTGAAGGACAGGGATTCAAACCAGGAACCTCCTCACAGAGAGACTCCCGTCAGGCGGGGATTCAAACCAGGAACCTCCTCACTGTGAGGGGACAGCGCTAACCACTGCAGCACGGTGCAGCCTAGTTTAATAAAATACCGATAGTCACTGGATATGATATTATCGGCTGGCTGATTAATCGATCAGGCTCTAATGTTGACATTGGTAAAGTAAATGATTTTTCCATCTCTCTAACGCTGTAACTTCAGCTTTAAAGGACTTAAGACGTTACAGCTCTATAAACCAGCACAGCACTCTTTAGTGATTATCTAGCAGGGGTCTCTCCCTCTCTCAGTAGCCGACTTCTGTACACAGTTAAATAATCATTATAGTGTAAATGTTTATAATCTTATAGTTTTGTAGTCGTTCCCAGCGTTGCTGTGAACCAGTTTAGTAAGAAAATAATTGAAGGCTTCTCTCTTATTAGCGCCTATCCCCAAATGTTAACAGCATCACCTCCATGTGACTCACATGAGAAATGTTTACCATCATCAACTTCCCACACACTGTCCATCCATCAGTTATCTATACCCGCTTTTCCCGTGGGGGGTCGTGGGGGGGGGGGGGGGGTTGGAGTCGACCCCAGCTGTCATTAGGTGAGAGGCGGGGTTTCACCCTGGACTGTTCACCAGCCAATCACAGAGCTGACATATAGAGACAGACAACCAGACACACTCACATTTACACCTACAGACAATTTAGCAGTTAACCTAACGAGCATGTCTTTGGACTGTGGGAGGAAGACGGAGAACCAGGAGAGAACCCACACATGAACGAGGAGAACATGCAGACTCCACACAGAGAGACTCCTGAAGGACGGGGATTCAAACCAGGAACCTCCTCACAGAGAGACTCCTGAAGGACTGGGATTCAAACCAGGAACCTCCTCACAGAGAGACTCCCGTCAGACGGGGATTCAAACCAGGAACCTCCTCACAGAGAGACTCCCGTCAGACGGGGATTCAAACCAGGAACCTCCTCACAGAGAGACTCCTGAAGGACGGGGATTCAAACCAGGAACCTCCACACAGAGAGACTCCTGAAGGACGGGGATTCAAACCAGGAACCTCCTCACAGAGAGACTCCCGTTAGACGGGGATTCAAACCAGGAACCTCCACACAGAGAGGCTCCTGAAGGACGGGGATTCAAACCAGGAACCTCCTCACAGAGAGACTCCCGTCAGACGGGGATTCAAACCAGGAACCTCCTCACAGAGAGACTCCTGAAGGACGGGGATTCAAACCAGGAACCTCCTCACAGAGAGGCTCCTGAAGGACGGGGATTCAAACCAGGAACCTCCTCACAGAGAGACTCCTGACAGACGGGGATTCAAACCAGGAACCTCCTCACAGAGAGGCTCCTGAAGGACGGGGATTCAAACCAGGAACCTCCTCACAGAGAGACTCCCGTCAGACGGGGATTCAAACCAGGAACCTCCTCACAGAGAGACTCCTGAAGGACGGGGATTCAAACCAGGAACCTCCTCACAGAGAGACTCCTGAAGGACGGGGATTCAAACCAGGAACCTCCTCACAGAGAGACTCCTGAAGGACGGGGATTCAAACCAGGAACCTCCTCACAGAGAGACTCCTGACAGACGGGGATTCAAACCAGGAACCTCCTCACAGAGAGACTCCTGAAGGACGGGGATTCAAACCAGGAACCTCCTCACAGAGAGACTCCTGAAGGACGGGGATTCAAACCAGGAACCTCCTCACTGTGAGGGGACAGAGCTAACCACTGCACCGCGATGCAGCCACCATATATTTCTTATATTATTGAAATACTGAGAATATGTCTGTTTTTAACTTCTTGCTGAGTCTCTTCCTCTTTTTTTTTTAAACTGTTGTAACAACCAACTTTCCCCCAACGTGGGATTAATAAAGTTTATCTTGTCTTTATTAAAGGAAGGATTCATTCATAGACTGATGTAAATAAAAGGGTTTTTAATTTAAGTTTTATGGTCATTTAAAAGTTTGTATTGTTCATTAATGTATTTAAGTTTCTAATATGTGTATTTTCTGTTTTTTTTTATTCATATCTGATCTTTAAAGGCTTTCCTTTATCATCTGTTTGTTTATCTTTTTATTTATCTACTTATAAACGTTTATTTATTTTTAGTTTAAAACATTGAATCTCAAATCTTGAATGAAACGGAGCAAAAAAAAAACAAGAATTAAATTTGATTGACAAAAAGCACAATTGACAGTAATTATCGTGTTAAAGTACCTTAAAGCTGTTTATATCACCTGTGTGTACACAGCAGTGTTAGCATTGTGCTTTGCTAGCTCCCTGCTAATGCTACATCAGCTAGCGTTAGCTTCCCATCAGCTCCACTGTGTTGTTAGCTTATTGCTAATGTTATTATAGCTAGCGTTAGCTTCGTACCTGCTCCACGGTGGCAGGGTCCACGGACTGCAGCCGGGCCGCGTTCTCGTACTCATCTTCGCTGTTGTTCCCGGCTCCTTCCTCAGTTTCCTGGCTGGACCCCACTCCACCCGGTCCGGTTACCCCGGGCTGGCCTCCACCGGCCAGAGCTGCCACCACCCCGCCGGAGCAGGTGCCTGCCTGTCGCCGCCTCTTGCTCAGCCCGGGCCCGGAGCAGCAGCTGCCGATAGCTCCGCCGCAACCGACGACGCCCGCCGACACGACGAGTTCCCCGCGGGACCCGGACACCATGCCGCCGCTGCTGTCCCGACTGTCAACGGGACCCACCGGAGACACAGAGCCGACCGGCGGCGGAGAGGCCTGCTGCGGCCGGGAGCTCGCCTCGATGCTCCGCCGGTCGTCCCTCGCTGAGGGCGGAGCGGGCTGGTAGGACCAGGGCGGAGGTGAAGCCCTCGGCCGGGCGCCCGTCCGCCCCGGGTGAGGGTGAGGGTGAGGGTGAGGGTGAGGGTCGGAGCTGCTGCGACGGTCACTGTCATCGGTGTGATCCGAGACACCGACCCCAGAGCTCGGTTTCTTCTTCGGGAGAATTGTCATGGTGGCTGTGTGTGTGTGTGAATGTGGTGTGTGTGTGTGTGTGTGTGTGAGGGAGGCAGGGAGGGGGTCAGAGGGTGACGAGTCCTCCCTTTCTGGATCAAACTGTTCGGTGTGTTCGCCCTCCGGCCCGGCCGCTCGGTTATTCAAACCGAGCAGAGGTTCCTTACGAACCGAAAACACCGAAATCAAACCCGCCTCGGCTCCTTTTCGACGGTTCAGTTGAACAAAAACAAGAAGCGTCTCCCTCTTCCCGTTCAGCCGTCCAGTCCACAAAACATCAACACAATCTGACGGAGGGCTGTGACGTCACTTCCCTGTTGCGACGGCAGGCTTTACGTCAGGCCGTTTATCGACCATCATTTTTTATTATTTGACTGATTAAACATGATCATATATGAGGATCATCTCTGTCCTTTAGTTTCTTCTACTTTATTAATTTACATTCATTAAACTGTTGTGCTTTAGATTAACTTACAACTCCACTGACGATGCAAAAAGCACAAAATAACTTAGTGTGCCTCAGGATTCAGGTTGTTTTGAAATCAGAGAGAGTCGGTATGACCTGAGGGGAGCAAAACAGAGACGTGTATCTGTCAGAGGGGTAAACGTGTAGAACTACGGAAGAGGATTAGGACCAAACAGGAGGACGATTTATTCCCCCATTCTGCACTTTGAGAGTCTTGTTGTGAAGACCTCGGTGGTGGAGCGCCAGGGAAACATTCGTGGCTGTAGGGATGAGAAACCTTATTTTGAAATGTATTTACCAGCTCAATAACTCATTATAACTAAATCATCCTTGAAGAGCATCAAGTGCAGCACTGCATGCGATCAGTCCAGGATAAGGAAACACTGGTGCAGGTTTATCCTCTGAGGGAACTGTTTTTATTTATTGAGTGATTTTATAACAACCGGTTGCGTGTTTTTATTCTGTGCTTTGTATTTCATGTCTTTTGTAGTTTCCTATCTGGATCCGTAATAAAGTTTGATTGATTTGAGAAAAAAAGTCGAAATATCAGGAATTATTATTAAATCAGTGTCAGATTTGGCATCAAAAAGTATTTACACCTAAAATAAATACATCTAGGCTATTTCATCAGACAGGTGTGGACAACAGAAATGAATCCATCAGACATTTCGGGATATATATTGGGGCTGTCAAATGATTAACATTTTTCGTGGTTAAGCACATTTCTGATCACGTGTTTGAAATTTAATTATTTAGCATTTTAAAATAAAAATAGTTAGGCTTTTATTTTTGAAATTTTGTAATTAAGCTGAGAGTACATTACTTGCTGTGTGCTTTTATTTTGAAATAAAGTAAGGCCCTTCTGGTCGATGGAAAGTTAGGACAGTTACGATGCATTCATGTGTTGTCGGACACATCGTAAAGACGACTTTCAGAGTTGTAGTTGTTGGATTTAAACTCCAGCCTCAATCATGCAGACGCCTAACAAGACAGGTCCGATTTATTGTGCTTATAAAGTAAAACAGAAAAGTTAATCTAATATTCAACAATTAATTTAGCAGACGCTTTGGTCCAAAGTGAATCAGGGAGTGAGTGTTCAAATCATCGGCATCGTTTTTGTAAACACCATATTATTTTGGATGTGATAATGCGGAGTCGGAATTGACCATATAAGGATGAAGAGGTGGAGCAGAAGCGGAGGGCGGGGCCAGAAAACACATAAAGTTAGGCTGCATTCATGGAGTGTTGGAAAAACAAGTTTCCAATTCGGAAAATGTCTGCTCAAGTCGGGACATCAACTGGGAAACCCGGGAAGAAGGGGCCTTAGGCAGAAGTTATTTGGGGGCCCCTTTTCAACCGCCATTATGTCTGTCAGTCTGCTGTTAGATGGGGCCCCCTTAGGGAGGTTTCCTACTGTTATTACAAAATTTGCACGTTTTCAGCCACTGCTGCGGTTTAATGTTTGTCAGCACTCAGGGGGCCCGACCAAGTGCATGCCTTGCCTGTTGACAGTCAGCACCTTCACCCGAGAGTTGACAAACCTTTAACCACAGCAGCGGCTCAATATGTGCATAGTGTGCAATGACGGTTGTGAACCTCCCTAAGGGGGCCCCATCTGACAGCAGTCACTCATAGCATAGTAAATGACTGAATGTTGCTCGTCCAACCCTAAATGTGGAGGAGAGATACTCGATTTACACAACTGACCTGAGAAACTTCTCCAAGATCAGATCAATCTCGTCGTTTAAGGACGCTGAGGTCCTCATCCAGCCTTTGTGTCATCTAGGCTGGATTACTGTAATGTCCTTCTGTCGGGTCTGCCAAAGAAAAGTCTGTGAAGTCTGCAGATGGTTCAGAATTCTGCAGCTCGTGTTCTGACTGGAGCCTGCAGATATGAACACCCCGGTGTTGGCCTCTCTTCATTGGCTCCCTGTTCATGCCAGAGCAGACTTTAAGGTGCTGCTGCTAACTTTTAAAATATTAAATGGCAGCGCAGCATTGTATCTTACCGACCTGGTGAACCCCTATGTGCCTGCCCGAGCCCTGCGTTCTCAGGGGACGGGGTCTTTTGAGTGTCCCAAAGGTCAGAAAGAAGACAGTTGGTGAGCGGACACTTTGGAACAGTTTACCTCTGGACATCAGGCCGGCTTGTTCTGTTGAGGTTTTTAAAGCAAAGTTAAAGAGCCGTCTGTTTACTGTTAATATGAGTCATGATTTCTCTGTATGTTTTTTCTGTATTTTAACTGCATTGCTTTGTACAGCACTTTGATTTAAAGCGCTTTATAAATACATTTATTATTATTATTATTATTATGCTGCATTCAAGTGCTGCCAGACACATCGGAAAAACAAGTTTCTGAGTTGTAAAATGCTCAGAAGCTTCTGAAGTCGCAACAACAACTCAGAAACTGAAAAGAATTAGGTGCCCAACTTGACGTCAGCATCGTCATTAAATGGAGGTGCAAAATACCTTTTGGTAATGTTAACATACTTTTCATTAATTCACGTATTGCACATCAACTTCTTGCTGAAATACAATTTGTAAAAGTTACATTCCGCAGATCTTCTTCAGAGCATCAACTTGTTTTTGCGCTCTTGTTACATCATTCTGACTTTCTGAACTGAAATCACATGAACACTTTTGAAGTTGGAAGAACGACTTCCCAACTCGGAAACTTGGACCACCCAAGCAGCACATGAATGCAGCATCAGTGTGACTGGTTGTCTATCGCTGTATGTCAGCCCTGTGATTGGCTGTCTACCAGTCCAGGGTGTGACCCCGCCTCTCACCCTATGACAGCTGGGATCAGCTCCAGCCCCCCCCCCCACGACCTCGAATGGTAAAAGCGGTATAGATGATGATGGATGACTCTTCAGAGTGTATTTTAGTCCAACTGAACAAGACAGTCTTCAGTTCAGGTAGCCCCGCCCTAACTCCGCCCCCTCTTCCTGGACCCTAAATAGGACCATAATTTACTAAGTGACAATCATGCTGTGTGGAAGAAGACGTGAAACTAAAGATTGAGATCATAAAACTCATCAGAGAAATATTTACTGAGGGAATAAATCAACTGAGAAGAAGCGGGAACATTTTTATATCATAGACTTCTTTTTAATCAAACTGATTTATACAACCAGAAATCAGACAAGAAGCTGTGGAGTGACAAAGTGTGTATTTATATAACTTTCTTCATAGACAGACACACACACACACACACACACACACACACACACACACACACACACACACACACACACACACACACACACACACACACACACACACACACACACACACACACACATCTTTAGCTACAGTTGGTGCTCAGTGTTGAGTATAATTAAATAATAATATAAGCAATAGTTGTCTTCAAATATAGAGCGGTACACTTTATACAAAATACCCTGCATATTACTGTCAAGTTTATTTTAGTGTCATGAGGAGAGCAGTGAGATGTAACGGTTGTTCCCTCTGATCACCACCGGAGGGCGCCACAGCTCAGCTGTCAACCTGAACTCTGGAGGTTTTCAGGATTCATGTTTACACCGTGCAAAAATATCATCTTCTGGTGTTTTTTTTCTGATTAACTGACTTTTTCTGCAGACAAAATATATTACGTCGGTATGTCTTGGACTCGGTTAGTGTGGTCTTGACTCTGACACTTCTTTCTGCAGATCCTTTAGTCTTTAAAAGGGACCATCACTCATGATGTTTTATTTAATCATCAATTTATCTGCACATTATTTTCTGAATTTAACCCCTTTAATCCTCCCCAGAGTCTGACGTGACGCCTTCAGAAGTTCTTCAGAACAACAGTCAGAAAGGTTTCAGTTCGCTGTGATATAAAACAGAAAATCCTCCCGAGAACCAAAGAAACATCTTCATAATAATCATGTTTTCATATCTACAGATAGTGAACTCTTTAAAATGCCCGCAGCATCCTTTGGATGTTTGTTCCTGAAGTGATCTGGTGACAGTTGAGGGATTATTTGGCTAAAAGTGAACGACGAACCTGCAAACTGACGGATCACGCTCACAAACTGTTTTTAAATCTGCTGAATGATGACGTTCAAGACATTCTTTTATAAAAATGCTTTTACTCTGTTCTTATTTTATTTTATTAGTCTGATTTTGTTGTCTGCTTGTTTACTCTCTGCCTATTGCTTTAATTGTCTCTCTGCTTTTATTTTCTGTTGTAAAGCACTTTGTTACTTGTATAGAAAAGTGCTATACAAATAAAGTATTATTATTAATATTATTCTTACTTCATAGTAACGTCCTTTTCATGTCAAATTTGTGTTTCATTCTGACAAAAGGACGACGTCATGAATCAGACATCTGTAAATTTCATCATGACATTGTTTTCTTGAATCCATGAGAAGCTGTTTAAATAACTGTGGGATGTTTCTTTGCAGCCATGTGACGATGACATCATGACATGAAGAGAGATTGAACGTCCTCCGGCAGTTTGCAGGTGGTCACACAGACGTGGTTTTATACAAACAGTCCTAAATATGAGTGCAAAGGCATGCAGCACCACCCTCCTCCACCTCCCAGTGCAACAGATAAAAACCCAGAAGAGGAAGAAGAAGTCGGTGTGACAGGATATAAAACAGAGATTAAAACATCAGCGTGGTCACTGTCCGAGCACAGAGTGTCGATTAAGTTCTTCACGTGGTCTGTAACAGTGAACGTTCTTTGACCTGAATACATCCCGCTGCTGACGGACGCAGGTGGTTACTACTATAGAGGAAGATGGTTACCGTGACAACCACTGTGTTTCTAATAAAACAGTAATGCATTCATGCTGACGAAGACAGCGCGAGTCAAGTAAAGTGA